GTTCAAACTAAATTCCAACAACATACAAATCGAGGCAAAGAAATTATAGCCCTATTACGTGACACAACAGCTAATATAGCAAATAAATCTCAAACATTAAAACAAGAACTTGTTCAAAACTTAACTCAAATGGATGAAAAAAATAATTTACTTGAACATGAATTACGTTCAATGACTGAATCGGCGAAAGAAAAAATTCGACATATATCTGAAGATGTTTATAAAAGAGTTGCACAAACATTGAATGATGAAATTAAACGGTATGTTTATCTAATAGAATAACAAAAAAAAAATGAATCAAATATACAGAACTTTTCTTTTACTTAAAAACAAAATGAGAAAATGATACGACATTATGATTTGTTTTTTATTGTTAAATGTCATGACATATTCTTATATTCGTGATTTGAATTAATTATAAAATATGTTTGAAAATTTAGGATGAATAACAATTGATACAAAAGAATAGTTGTATATTTTTTCTTTTCTTCAATTAACTAAGTTACTGTTTACTATCTGGATAAACTTGTAGAGTATGTTATTAGCTCTTGGTAGGTAGAGATGTACCAATTCCTAGAACATGATATCAAAGATCACGTTCTTATTGTTATTAAGAATGTAGTTCCTGTGGATTGTTTATATCAATCATGATCGGTGTTTTTATGCTCCATCCAAATCTGTAGTCGGAATCAGGATTCACGATTGTTTTTGGAAGCGGAGGGGGGAGAGGAGAGGGGCTAATAATTTGGCAGAAAGTGTGGTGTTTTTGCAAAGAAAGTTGACTTTCTCCGAGAAATTTCGCAGAAACAACATCGACTTTCTGCAAGAAATTTGACAGAAATAATATCGACTTTCTGTGAGAAATTTGGCAGAAATAGAGTCGATTTTCTGTGAGAAATTTGGCAGAAATAGTCGACGTTCTGCGAGAAATTTGGCAGAAAGCATCTTTGATTTAATTTTATTCCAGTAAATGCAGGAGCTTTCTGCTGAACTGACCTTTAAAATTTTCGCAGAAAGTATTATCAAAAATTATGGCAGAAAGTCTGAAATTTTGAAAGGAGGAAGGCCGCTTCCCGCTTAATCGGGATTTCTGGTCCGAATTCATGAGATATGAAACAAAAGCTTCGGAATTGGCCGAAACATACTAAAAAATGTGAATTTTCCACCAATTCCAAAACCTTTGTTGTGTATGTCATGAGTTTCGCCTACAACTTCAGATAGATCAATCATAATTTATATAAACAATCCATAGAGACATACATTCTTAATAAGGAGCAAATGTCATCTTTGATATCATGTTCTAGGAATTGGTGTATCGTTACTAGTAGGTAGTCGCTGATCTGTTGGATTGATTGAAGAAATCAAAAAAAAAATTCATTAGCTTCAAACTGCTATATATAAATGTCAAACTATAAACGTACCATCTTATACGTTGATATTACAAAAAAAATACAAAAAGGGTTAAATAGAAAGCATCGAACTATTTATTTATACTTACAAGGCTTCATGTAATAGAGAAAATATCAAAATAAAAAAAGCCAATTAGAAACCTTTCTTTTATATATATGTTTGAAATGTTACACAAATTCTGAGAGAGATAATCTATTTTCATTCAGCCAATATGAGAGCTGAGCAAATCAAGTCAAATGAGTTTTCTATTTGGGAATGGGAAGCATCAATTCATAGTTCTATAGATTCAATTTCTTTGATTACATATTTCTGATATCCATATAGGAACTGGCTACAAATATTAATAACATTTGATAATGATTCAAAACATAAGATTCATCTGAAACATGTTTGTATATTAAAAAGTATTCACATAGAAGAATCTGATATTTATTTTTTGTATCAATAACAAAAAAACCTATTTCTACATGTATATATAGTTTCAAAAGACAAGTATCCTTGTTCATTAAATATGTTCATAGAAGAATTTTGTAAGATTGTCTTTCATACAAAAAAAATATATATTTGTTTTTATGATTAAATATATATTAAAACATGAGCACTTTTACATGCAAAATATTTCATTTTTGTTTTCTTTAAGAAGAATAATTTAATATTTATTTTCTAGTCTATATACATTAATTGAAGAATTCGATCGTCCATTTTCATCCGATGCCGAACAAATTCCACTTTATAAACGAGATTTACATCGTTGGGTTGAAGATCGACTTGGTTCTAATTTACAAAATCGTCTTAATACAGCTTTATATGCATCATTAAGTAGTGTTCATCGTGAAATAAAAGAACGTGTTAAATCTGTTTTATCAAATAATGAACGTAAAATGCTTGTTGATTCAATAGTGCCTCGCTCAGATTTTGCTGTTTCATATCGTTTGGATTGTTCAAATTTATGTTCAGATTTTCGTGAAGATATACAATTTAAATTTTCATTAGGTTTTACATGTTTATGGCAACGTTTTGTTCAAAATCAGAAAGAATCTCTAACAGGACCAAAACATATAAATGAATTAACATCATCAACATCATTACTTAATTCAACAAATGATTTATTAACAACAGCAAATAATATATCAGCATTAACATCAAAATCAGGTTTAGTTGCATTAGGTGGTTGCGCATTAATATGGCGTAGTGTTGGTTGGAAAGTTTTAGGTGTTGTCGCTGGTATTTATGGTAGTTTATATTTATATGAACGATTAATGTGGACAAAAACAGCGCAAGAACGCGCATTTAAACGTCAATATGCTGATTATGCATCATCAAAAATGAAATTAATTGTTGATATGACATCAGGTAATGCAAGTGCACAAGTACAACAAGAATTATCAATGTATTTCGCTCAAACACTACGTTATGTTGATATAGAAAAAGATGAATTAACAGATAATATGAAACTATTAAGAAAAGAAATGGATCAATTATTAAAATATATTGATAAAGGAAAAAAATTACGAAAACAAGGAGATGATATTGATAATGAATTAAAGGAATTTTCAAAACAATATTTATCATCGAATTCAATAATAACAACAAGTGAATAATTTATCTATAAACGAACATCTTGTCTTAATATTTCTTTAGATTTTGTTCCTTTTTTTTTGGTGTTTCAACTCTATACTTTCTATTTTTTTTCAACTATATATGTTTGTGTTTGAGCCTTGTAGCATTTTTAAAGTCATTATTTTTTTTTTTTTGTTTGTTTATTATCCTTGCCACTTCTCGTTTTCATACAGTAAAAAAATAGGAATACAAATCACTTGAGACGATACTTATGAATTTCAAAGACAAGAATAGTTAGAAAAATTTTTATTATAATATCTATTTGTTTGTTTTTTTTTTCGCTGAATTTTGAAGATAAAAAATTCTTCGCTGATATTGTTGATTGAGAATAACTACATAAGAACTTATCTCAATATTAAATGATCAACATTTTAATCTTTTAGAAATAGAAAATAATTTATTTTTCTAGATACATTTAAAAAAAAAGAATCTAAGACATGATAATTGAATTGTCGAAGTTTTTTTTTTGTGATCAGACCAATATAGGAAATTAGTTGATAGAAGATCATAAAGGTTTATTTCGACAAGGATTATTAACAAAAATTTTGAGTTTGTCATAGAATTTAACCGATGAGAAAACTTCGCCAGATATTAAATTGATTTCGATCAAGACATTGTTTATTTAATGAATAATAGAAAAGTCTAGAATGGTTTGATTTTCCGAACCTTTGTTCTCGAGATGGATTCTTCAACAAAAAGCTGTGGTCCTATTCAAATCATGTGGAAAATTGATTTTCGACTTCAAACTTTGCACGAATAAAGTTCTTAATGAAATTAATTCCTTGGATAAGTTGTCATTTTTCTAGCATCTCCTCTTCAATATTCGAAATTCTCTTATGTGTAAAAACAAATTTTGTTCACATATTTACATCTTCAGAGAGGAAATACTAGAAAAGCTAAAACTTGTAGAATCAATTAATCTCACTGAGAAATTTGTTCATGAAAAATTTGAAGTCGAAAGTCAATTTTCCACGAACTTGAGTGGGACTATAGCTTCTCGTTTAAAAACTCAGTAAAATTTCGATATATCAAGAATGAAGACCCGGGAAAGCAAACCATTCGAGACTTTTCTATTTTTCATCAAATGAACCTCGTTTCTGTTGAAATGCGATTTGACACCTTGAGAGATCTCCTCATTGGCTATGCAAATCTAATCAATATTGATTAATTATAAAATATAATAAATATCCTATATTTTACTAAATTCTGATTATAAAACTAGTTCATTTTATTTTACATCGTAATGTTCGTTAATTATACGATTTCTTCTGTTCACTAAACGCATTTCTATCGACATAGTCAATCAGAATGATAAACATAGCGGAAAAGAAAACATTTTATGTGAATAAAACTAGTGGTGAAGCCCAGAGTTGAGATAGAGTGAGCTCATTCCGTCATGAGTTCACGATGAATTGAAATAATGTTTTTGCCACTAAGTAAAACAACAAGATGCATAAAAATACTCTGTCTTATGAATAAGTGAGATTAAAACTGACGCGTTATAAACCATTATTTTCAAATGGAAACGTGCACTATTAGCATTCATTGCTTCATACTTATTGATCGCACCAAAGTAAATTTCTAAGAAAAAGTTTTTACTAATATACAGTTTAATCAAAATTGTATTGTTTTCTTTTTTGTTTTAGATTTCATTCTGTTATTTTTGAATGATTTCGTATTGACTTTACTTCCTTCTCAGCATTGCATGTTCGGTTGCTAAGAAGAACGAAGGAGAAAAACGGACGCCATTTCTCTTTCTAACGATGTGCATTACTTTTTTTACTATTGTCTAGGAAGAAAAAGAAAGCAAATTCTCTATGTTGTTATATTTATTCTTACTTTATCAGATTTTTTTGTCTACAGTAAAGTATCGTATGACTGCAACTAATAGTTTACTGTTTGTATTTTAATGCAAAGATTCATGAAAAAGAATATTTTTCATACTTTCTTTCAGATATTGATTTATAATTATGGATTTTGGATCCAAATATATTTACAAATATGATCATTCGGAATCAGAATCCGTATCTGATGATGATGATGGTACGCTTGGTAATGATGGTGATCCATTATTTATACCAAAACCAAAAGCAAAGTAAAGAATTATTTCAATAATTTTAAAATAAAATCAATTGAATATTAATTTTCAGTAAAGAAGAAAAACAAAATGAACAACAAATTGTATCTGCTACAGGCAGTTCTACATTAGCCTCTCATAGACGAAAACGTTTACGTAAACCTGATACGAATGTTCTTAGTGTTAAATTTAATCGATTACTTCAACCAGGTAATAAAAAAATATAACAAAAAAAGAAAAAGAAATGATCATACTATTTTTTTTTTAGGTGAAATGCATGCGGGTGATCCTGTCTATTGTAAAGATTGTGGTGCAATAACTTCTCATTTAAGTAAAATTGAGACAGAGACACAAGAACCTACTACAAATGATCGATCAAATGAATCAGAATCTAAATGGCATTGTGAGTTTTGTTCAATTACAAACATAGTTGATATTGAACAATCAGATTTACCTAAACAAGAAGATGCAACATATTTACTTTCTCCAGCACCTGTTGTTCATGGTTCAGATATGACTGGTGTTGATGACTCTATAGTTTTATTTTTAATTGATATTAGTGGTTCAATGTCATCAACAACATTAGTTCAAGGTACATTTAATTTACCTCAGGCACTTAAACAACAAGAACGTGCTGCTGAAGCATTTGGTGGTGCACATATGATACGACAACATCATCAAACATATGTATCACGTTTACAAGGTGTACAAATGGCTGTTGATGCTAATTTAGATAAACTTGTTAAAGATACACCAACAAGACGTGCAGCATTACTTACATTTAATCATGAAATAACATATTTTGGTATTGTAATTAATTTAGAATGATTTTATTTTTATTTTTATTTTTGATTGAAATAAATCTTTAGGTGATGGTACAAGAGATGAACCATTAGTTATACGTGGTGATAAATTAAATAATGCAAATGATTTATTACATGAAGCTGAAAAAGAATTAAATCATGAATTAAAACCTGTTGCAGAAACAAAAACAAAACTGACTGAGCGTGTTTATGATCTTGAAGAAGGTGGTCAAACAGCACTTGGCCCAGCTGTTGTTTTTGCTCTTAATATAGCATCGAAACGACAAGGTTCAAAAATAGTTATTTGTACTGATGGTAAGACAAGAACAAATCGAAATATAGAGTTTTTATTTCTATTGAAAATTATTTTTAAAAAAATTTGTCTTTTTTTCTTTCAGGCTTAGCTAATCGAGGTTTAGGCAATTTAGAAACGGCTCAAGATGAAAAAGTTGACGAGGCTATTAGAAATCAAGCTCTTGAAGAAGGAAATCAATTTTATGCTGAATGTAAATTTGATCCAGTTTTCTTTTGTTTTTTAATAATTTTATTAATATATAAATATATTTTTTATTTCTAAGTAACCGAACGTGCTAGAGAAAAAGGTGTCAGTATATCCGTTATCACTATCAAAGGTAAGATATTTATTTAAAGAAATATTTTTTTTTTCCTTTAATCATATTATTTAATTGTTTAGGCACTGCTTGTTTACTACCTGTGATCGGTCAAATGGTAGAAGAAATTTTAAATTATGTTTTTCTTTTTTTTGGTAAAAAGTTTCGTTTTTTTTTGTAATGAGTAGGCTGATGGTACAGGCAGTAATGTAACAATTGTTGATTTATTAAATATGCGTGATGAATTTGCATCAATACTTGAACAAAAAGTTATTGCAACAAATGTTGAAGCAACATTAATTGTTCATCGTGGTTTATATATTCGTAATCCTGATAATTTAGAGGATAAACTTAACAAAATAAAACGTGATATTGGAAATGTAACAAAACAAACTGAAGTTACATTTGAATTTGGTATTAGAAATAAAGAAGGTTTGTTCTTTTTTTCTTTTATAGATATTAATAATAGACTTATTAATATAATTTTGTTTTATCTATAATTTAGAAGTCAAAGAAAAATATCATATTGATTTGGATCAATTAGAACGATTACCATTTCAAGTACAAGTTACTTATATAGCTGCTGATGGTAGTAAAGCATTACGTGTATTAACACAATTAAAAGAAGCAACAGGAGATCGTGAAATAGCTGAAGTTAATGCTATTCGAAGTGTTATTGCAGAAAATCATATTCGAAATACAGCAAATGATATGATGTAAATTAAAATCACAAGATTTGTTTGATATTTTCAAATGAAAAATATGTTTTGGTTTTTTCTTGTATAGGGCAGCAATATCTGATGAAGACGAATATGAGACAGCACGTACACGTTCAAAATGGTCAACACCAGTTGTACAAAAACAACGTGTAGCTTATATGGATAATCTTAATGCAAAAGTACGCTCTCGTGGAACTTATGAAACGGATCAATTTAATGAAAGGTTTAAAATATATAAAGATTTATTTTTAGCTAATTCTTTTTTTGCTTATAGACGTTGGAATGCAGCAAGTAATGAATTACAAACACATGTTATTACATCAAGATCTCGTAAGGCTGATGCATTAAGACATACAACATTGACATCAACATCAGCAGTACCATCACCACCACCATCAAGTCCAGGTGGTTCTCTACTTAGTACTATAGGTGATCGAGTATCACGTCTTTTCTCTGGTTCAAGTAAAGGAGATGCATCTGAACGTAAAGCTGTTGTTCCTTCAACAACATCAAAAGGTCTTTCAAAACGAAGTTATGGTTTTGCTACATCAAATCTTAGCCATTTTTCTGATCAGCATTCAGAAGATCTCTATCGATATAAAAATATATCATCAGATTATATTCGTGGAACAAGTCCAACACGTGATGATGATCAACCTGCTATCGCATCGAGTACCAATCGTGTTGCAACTAGACGATATGAAAATGATGATCAACCAGACATTGTGTCAGGCAGCCGACGTTCTGCTGTTAGACGAAATGACGATGAGGAACAACCAGCTAGTACATCAGGCAGGCGTCGTGTTGCTTTTAAACGAAATACTGATGACGAAGATATTCCACCAGTGATTGCCTTAAATACTGATCGTTCCGCAACAAGACGAGATGATGAAAACGATCAATCAGCTAATACATCGAGTACTGGTCGTTTTTCAGTTGGACAACATGATGAAGACAACCAACCAGCTAATGCATCGGATACCAATCGCTTTGCAACTAGACGACATGATGATGATGATAATAATAAATAAACTAAATCAGTTTTTGATATTTTTCTTTTTTTGTAAAAACAAATAATTAACAAAACAGTGATATTATTATATTTATAATTAAGATTTCTTTTTTCTCTAATTATTCATATAAATTTTAATTTTTGATTTTTATTATTCCAGAAATAAATTAAGTGTATTAGATAAATAATTTTTTATTAATAAATCAAACAAATTTTTCTTTAGATCAATCTCGATTTAAAAGAATTATGGCTAATCTACATTTAAACTATTCAGGTAAATCATTTAATTAGAAAATATGGTTAAGTTCTTTTATATGTGCTTTAAACTGTAAAATGTCAGTAGAACATAGTGAAAATAATAGAAACAAAGACTTGTCTAATACGACGTAAGACAGCTATATAAAATCGATTTTTTTTTTGTTAATATCTATGCATTATAACCATGTAAACATTGCTTTCCTTAATCGTCAACATCTGTATGTCTACGTACTATTTAGATGCTTATTATCGTTTATACTAGGGATGAATATGCATTAATATAAGGTTTATTAAGATTAATATGTTATTAATAGAGATTTTATTCAACTTATTCATATGTTGTTTTACATTATATGCTTAAGTAAACTTCATCCTTAGTGAATAATAATGAAAAAACAATAAAAATATTATGGAAAGTATTCATATCGGATTTCTATGACAATAGAGAGACTATTTTACGTTATAGATGATATTTCAAAAACAAAACTTTTACTTTTTTGTAATGAAATATCGAAAATGTTTAAATAAGAAAAACAAAATTTATTTAGATTTTAAAATAAAATATCTAATTTATTATAATATATTTTAAGTTGATCATGATGTTAAAGACCTACTTGAAGATCTTATCAATCAAATTCATCTTATGAATACACTTTGTGAAAATATATCAATTAAACTTGAACCACGTCATCATAAAAAATTTAAAAAAATAAAAAATCAATCCATTACAAGAAAACAAAAGAAACGTCGAATTTTTTCAAGTTCTGAAGATGATAGTTCATCGTCATCCGATGATTCAGTTATATCTGAAGATAAGAAGTAAAATTTATCAATTATTTTTCTTTTGATTTAAATCATATTTCATCTTTTATTAGTGCACTTATCAATGAAGATTCAGGTGATGATGATGATGATGAACAAAGAGCACTTCGTAATCGTCATGGTCCACGTACACGTAATGAACTTGTTATTGATGAACTTCCACCAATTGAAAATCTAACAATTACACTTAGTGATGAAACACCTATTGAACGACTTGGACATATTCGTCATATTATTGATGGAAAATTAGTCATTATTGAATCATTACTTCATTCACCACCACTAAATGATGATAGTGTTCTTTTTAATCGTGATCGCCGTTCAATTGGACTTATATTTGAAACATTTGGACCTGTTGAAAAACCATATTATTCTATTCGTTATAATGATGTTAATAGTATTCATCAACGCCAAATTGAATTAAATCAAGAAGTTTTTTATGCACCAAAAGAAACAACATATACTAAATATGTCTTTGTACAAGAATTAAGAGCCTTGAAAGGTTCAGATGCATCATGGGAAGATGATAATGAACCACCAAAATTTGCTATTGATTATAGTGATGATGAACAAGAACGTGCAGCTAAAGCATTACAACGAGAAAAAAGACATATCGAAGAAAATACTAATGAACAAATGACCAATACAATAAATAATAATACTAATAGGTATATGGAACCTTTTTTTCAGAATAAAACTAATTTGATTGATTGATTCGTTTTTCTCTAGTATTTCTTCAAATTATTCGAATTTCGAACGTAGTCGAGGTCGTGGTCGTAATCGTGGATTTCATCAAGGTACTAATAATCGACCTGCACCAAGTTTACCTAATTGGTTTCAAAATACTTCAAATTCAATGTCTTTTCAATATCGATCAACAACATCACAACAACAACAACAACAACCACAATCACCTAGGCAAAACAATAATAATACTACTATTTCTGCTCCATTTTCATTTTCAAGTACCGCATATTCCGGTAATAATAATCCAAGTGTACGACCAACACAACAATCATTTCAAGGAAATAATTCTACTCATAGTGTTTTTCCTTGGATGTAATTTGTTTACATTTCTTTCTTTTTGTTATAAATGAAAAACAAATAATATAATTGAAAAAAACATTGAATAGTCATTTTTTACATCATATTTATATCAAGCACATCTATATTTAAATCATGTCAGCATTTGCAAAATATCATGAAAATCATTTATTTTATATACAGGAGAAAAAAAAATTAACATGGATCAATATAATGCTATTATTATAACAAGTATAAAAAGAAATCGGTCGAACGCATAGGAAAATGGATTTTAAAAGAGAATGAAGAAAAGGAAAAAAAGTAATATTGTTGTTGTTGTTGTCATTGATACAACCGAATTAAATCTAATGAGTTTCTTCTTTTGCTGTCTCTTGAAGAAGGATTTCTTTTTGATTTGTCGACAAAAAAAAAAGAAAAAAAGATAAATATCAAGTGGATACTTAGGTATGCTTTACTGCCAAAACTATAAATAGATTCTTCGAATCAAGAGAAGAAAAGATTCATATTAATACTATAAGTTTCTTCTTTAATGCTGTCATTCATCTGTATATATCTTCACTCATATTAAACGATCGATAATCATCATAAACAAGTGCAGATAAAAAAGCCAAATTGAGTAGATAGACACATACATTCATCTTCTTTCTTTCTCGAGCGATGACAATGAAATGATGACAGAAGATTTGTTGAGCATTCCCACCCTATTTTATGTATTACATGTTTATCATGAAAACATACATAGGCATAGTGTTAAAGAAAAGATAACATCTGCGTATTAGACTAGACCAGAAACAGATATGTCTCTATTGACACACATCGTTATCATTCGAAGTTCTCAATATATCTATGCAATAGATGCATCATAAGATCTATCACTAAGGCAAACACAAGCATATGGGCGTATTTAGAATAGCTCGTTTTTTTTTGTCAGTTTTTTTCTATCTGTCACTGAGCTTACAATAAGAATACATATGTATATATACCGACAGAGATATGTCAGCAAGCTTTGTATATGAATATGGATATCAACTTGTTTTTATTTTTATTTCCCTTCTACTTGACAGTGCCAAATATATATATCATATCTAGAAGAATGACATTTTGCGACACAAAAAAAAAGAAAGTGTTGAACGCCATTGTTATGTGTCGAGCATTATTAACATGATAGTGAATGAGCAATCGTTTATCAACCATACGAACTGTCATTCCCGTTTCTTTTTTCCGCTAGTTGTCTCTTGTGTCTATGTGTATTCACAGTAGTATTCACAGCGTCTTTTGTAACAACAATGATGAGTGCTCATCATCATCATATGGGCTACACTAACACCGCATGCATTTGTGTTTAGTTGTCGAAACAGACAAGAAAAGAAAGAGAAGAAGAAGAAGAAGGAGAAGATAGAAACCCCAAAGACTAGCGCGGCTATTAATGCTGTTCAAAATATGAGAAGAAACGGGAATGAACGCGACAAAAAAACCGATGTTTCTACTATCGTCATTGTCGTCGAAGAACAAGAACAGGAGTAAAGTACTACCGTCGTTTCTGACCGAAGCATTCGTACGCTCATAACAGAGAGAAAAAAATAAAGAAAGCAAAAGAAAAAAAAATCCAGAACAAGAAGGAAAAGACGAAGAAGAAGTAGAAGAAAATGAGAAATAGTAGTAGAAGAAGATATGCTTCTAGTATTTTTGCTTGTTTGTTTGCTAGAGACTAAGTTCTTTGTCGAGGCGAATATGAAATCTACATTTATGTTGTATATCTAGTAATGTGTTGACTCGACTCGTCTTCGAAAGAGAAAGACCGTACGTTCTCGCTGAAGAATTCCGGTGAGACTTAGTGCATACGCATAAGGGAGTGCGAAAAATTTGCCCTTCGGTTTTCTTTTCCGTCTTCTCTTGTCTGAAGACAGACGCGAGCGCGCGACCAACTATACGCTTGTCAATAAATTTAGATAGTAGAGTGTGTAATAGAACAATAAAAATAGATAGAGTGCTTATGTCTGAATGTGTGCGTGAAAAAAAAATATAAAACGATACTTCTTCCTGTGTATTCATTCGTTTCTATTTCAACAAAAGCATATAGGAGAAAAAAGAAAGAAACAGCAGAAGAAGAAAGAAAGGACAGAAATAAGTTAGTGTGAAAAATCAAGCGAAGAAAAAGAGATGGGTTTGAAATAAATGAAAGAAAAATAATAACACATTAGATGTGTATTTATAAGTTCTCAGTTTTTGTTTTCTTTTATATAAACAAGTATTATAGCATATAAATGGACATTTATCACTTATGGTAAGTTTGACTACACAATATGTATATAATAATAATATATTTACAGTCAAACAAATAGATTAAAAAAAACGATATATGATAGTTCATTATTATTTAATGTGCCTGTACACATCCACATCTTCAATCACTGTCTTAGATTTCATCAGAGCTTTCTCATAGTTATTTATTTCTCTTCGTCTCATCATTATCAACTTTTATTTAGTTCGTTACTCTTTTCTATTTATCCGATTTTTAAAGTCATTTTGTTAAGTATATCGTATTATTAGCAAATATTTCTTTAAATATTATATCTATTCATCTTTTATGATTTTATGTGTTTTATATATAACAGATGTTCTATAAATATTGACGAATATGTCTTTTCAATCCATCGAAATTGATCGATATAATAAGGATAATTCTTTCGTATTTTTATCAATAAAAATGATTAAATCGAATAGGCAAAACTATGAGACAGAAAGACAATCAAGAGAACAAAACATGTGCTATCTGTGTAACATAATGAGTTCTATTATTAGTATACAATTTAGACCAATAACGCAACATGATTATCGAGCAGAGCTAGAGAACGAGAAAATGCAAATTCGGATATTGATTACTTTGACGTACAA